TCCAGTGCTCATCACGGTGATCAGCAGGTCCCGAGTTATAAATCTGGTAATTCTTATCTGTCCTACTACCCCTGTATGCTACTTATTTGGGCAATTTTATCTGAGCCTTTCTAGGTAGGAAGCTCAAGAACCCACAGAGAGACCCTAAGTCATATTACACAGTATAAGAACCTGTATAGAAAATATTGGAGAAGGGGGAGTAGAATGGGTCTTTTGTACATTTATATTGCTTTCAAGGTGACTCTACCCATCATAGACATGGTAAGTGTATAATGACAAATGTATTCCATCCAGACTGGAAATGAAAACCTATATAACTCAAGTAGGATACACCACCTTGCTGTCTTTGCTTCATGACTGCTTACTACTCTGCCAAACTCAGATTTTAGGCATTTAGGGAAACAAGGTTGGAAGAGAGTGGACATAGTTAGCTTTTACTGAAAAACATCTTTCTTGTCAAAACTGTGCTTGGTTTGCAGCCTTCTAGTGACATACTTTGAAATACTCTGTGGTTCACCTGTTCTTCTTGGCTATTTGTCTTTACAAAATACAGTATCTAAAAGCATTATTCTCAAAGATAAAGCTAATTAGTAAATTACCCTTTCTTCCTGTGACTTAGCCTGCCACAAGGCTCTGTGCTGAAAAGGATTGAAGTGCTGAATACACAATGCAGTAGAAATATTTTATTCTCCTCTAGAGATTCATAACTCACATTCTTGTCTGTAGAGCCCTGGAGTCAGGTAAGGTTTCTAGAAGCTGAATCACCGAGTCTAGAGCATTGGATTGATGTTTCTTTCATGGATAATTTCTTCTGGCTTTTTTTTTTTTAATTCTTTTTCTTGGATTTTTTTTGACAGGATTTTAAGACTCTAAATTACACTGCTGTTCGGGAAACGTGGCAGAGAAAAGTCAAATCTTACATAATTCATTCATCAGTGGATTATTTTATTTCAGTAAGATTTAGTTTAATATTTAAAATTAGGATGCTGATTTTTGGAAACTGGTTAAAATAGAGTATATGGTCACAGCGTTAATAGAGTGTGCTACATATATTTGAAATGCAGACTTTTAGTTTTTCAAGAACAGCCAGAAAGCTTTATATTTTATTCTGATTCACTGGAAACCTGGCATTTCAGAAATGCTTACATCACATTCAGAAATCTGATTCTCAATCTCTGTGAAGAAATCAGGTGGGTTCTTTGAGTGTCGAATATAAAGAAACCATACACTGCGTGATGTTCTCTGCTGTAGGGACTGTCTCAAGAGGCAGAGGACCTACGTGTGGCCATCACCTTTTTCATCCACAGCCCAGATATGAAGTGCTTCTGCAACCAGGCTGGTTCAAGCCCGCTAACTGCACACAGCAGACAGCCCCAGGATTATGAGACCTGTCCTCTTTGCTACTGCGCTGGTGAGAAAGGAGAGTGATTTCCCGCATACCCTCCTTAGAGTGGGAAAACGCTGCAGAGGTACCTGATGTACGTGCCATGTGAAGACCGTTCTCTCTTTGTGTGTACCATGGGAAATAGTCCAGTCCGTTGACTAGATACTCCTCAGAGCTATCACACTTTTGGGTATAAGCCTTAGGCTAAACAAAGAACAACAAAAGTAGCATGGATTTCAGTGGCACAGGGCCAATTCCCACGACAAAATGTATGCCATATTTTTAAAATATTATACTCATGGGTAAAATGCAGCAACATACTACTGGTTATAAATTACAGTTTATCCATTTGTAGATGAATTATGTTATAGCTGTATAAAGAGGCAAAATGACGCCAAGAAGTATGTCGCTGTACTCTTTTTTTCCGTGAGTTAACCATTAGTTCAATTGTTTCCATATGAAACCTGAAGATGCTTATTTGCAATTTGGAAAGCACTAAAAAGAGTTCTGTGTGTTTTCTGGTACACATTATTTCACAAGGACAACTACTTTTTTTTTTTTTTTTTTTCCTGGTAGTTATGTTCCACTATTTAGAATAATAACACAGAATGAACTAACTTTTTTCTTCCAAGCAAATTAAGAGTGATTTACAGCTGTTGATCACCTCTCCCACTGCCAAAGTCAAACTAAACTCAAGGTGAAAAAATAACAGGAAGAACTGTTAGTTTAGAACAAACAGATTTTGTTTCCAGCTGAAACTACAGAGGGTGTTTTAGCCAGCAATCACGTGGGCACTGCTGGCTGGGAGTGAAGGAGCGCATCCATCTGGAGTAAATCCTGCCGTCTGCTGAGGCACCAACAGCCTCTGCGGCAGCACCCGGCTGCTCTGCCCGGTGTGAACACCACTCCTCTGCGATCCGCCTGGGAGAGCTGAAATTAAACTCCATATGCCGGTAGGTGTGCAGGCATCCATCACAGTTGTGTTTAAAGGCAAAGGAAAAAAAAAAAAAT